GTGTGTTTAAGACAGACAGACAAGCACCATGAGGTACCTTCAGGACGTCCATGATGGCCCCATGCAGTGTTAGACATGGGCACATTCCCGTGTGGCTGGATGAGCTCCTCATGTGAGAAGAAGATGGCCAAAGGGCCGTGTGTACGTAAGATAGTCATATACTTTTTTGTTTTCACCTGAACCTGCTTTTAAAGAAAAGCAAAATAGCAGGCCTTGTTAACATAGGATCAGTGTAAACAAAACGGTGCGTGTGTGTGTGTGTGTGTCTGTGTGTGCTTGCGCACAGCATCCTACCCAGGCTGCACAGGTTGCCAGAAGTGGACTCTTGTGCAGATGTGTTCACTCATGACTGAACCTTTCTCTCTGGGACACCCACTGATGTTCACCGCGTGACTGTGATTGTGACTCTGCCTGCCACATGAACACAGTGCCGTTACACACTGCTTTGCCAGCCCACCCAGCCTATCTGTGCTGCTGTGATGTGGACACTGAACATCTCTCTCTCTCTCTCTCTCTCTCTCTCTTACACACACACAGTCCCTCCTGACCCCTTCACAGCCACAACTGCATTTGACTCCCCAAACAAATGTTTTCCATTGCATAAATTCAAGATTCAAGCTTCTTTTCCAGTTTCTAACTAAAGGTCAGATGGCTCAGCCACTGGTCTGGGACCACATGCTTCCCATGTCCTGGTCCAGTATTTCTGCTTAGTGTTACATTCAAGTTGACTATTACATTATTAGAGATGGTCCATCACTACATTTCTATCTCATCAACATAAACATTCATTCCCTGTAGCCACTTGTCCTGTGCAGGGTTCTGGGCCACTAACACACAGACCATTCACACCTACAATCTGGGAAAGCCAATTAACCTCAGCATTGTGACCTGTGAGGGAAACTCCATAGGGAGAACAGGCTAACTCCACACACATAGAATGGCAAAGGCTTGCACCCAGGTCTCCAGAAGTGAGAGGCAATTGTGCGAACCACAGCACCACCACGGCACCCGCAGAACACACCTAATCACTGTTATTACTATGGTTAGTCTGCAGAAAGCCTGTCTCTGCAGATTTGGACTGGAGAAATCACAATTCCTCAAGAAGTTTGACCGGGTGAGCTTGATTACGAAGCTGCGATCCAAGACGACCTCGTGAAAATGCTCAGTACCGAAGTGGAGAGCCGAGATGGGGGAGTCTCTCCCAGGCCTTGGACCGGGCTCCACAGCAGATGCAGGCGATTGGGAAATCAGTGTTTCCAGCCTGCACTCGCTTTCATAACAGCCTGTGATGTCAGCGACTGGAGCCTGTCCACGACAAACTGCTGGGAACGAGGTCTTTTAACAAGACAGAACTTTGTGAAAAGCGGCACGGACTCAGCCAGAAGGCAACCCATCGGGGAGATAAATTATGAACTGTACGCTAAGTGTTGGATAAGTGTCAATGCCTCCGTAGGAGCCATTGTTAATGAGCTCAGGTGTGATTAGCTGTCCTCCCAATCACTTATGAAGTTAATTATCCTTCATCCATTTCAACTGTAATGATTATGTAGTAGTTCGGAGTATTCAAATCCAAAAATTAATATAAAAAATACTTTCATCAGCTTTAAAGATGCCTTAGACATAGTACAGAGCATCATTAAGAAATTGAGTCGTTTTGGTAGTAGGGAAGTAGGGAACTAGGAGGAAGCTGATAAGAGCAGCCACTAAGAATCCGAGAGTTACCTATAAGGGGCGTTGTGTGGCTCAGCAGGCTAGGCCTCTATTCTTGTAAGCAGAAGGTCATTAGTTCAAATCCCAGGCCCAGCAGAGTAGCCCTCCCATCTGAATAAGCCGTTATGCTCAAAAAATGCTGCAGTGATACTTGATAAAAAGCTAATACTGCACTTTGGCCCCAACCTTTAATCTCTAGATGATAGAATATGTGAAAAGAGACATTTCAGTGTAGCTGTACTTCTTCAAATAAATCTTCTCTTCATTTAACCGAAGGAACTGCAGCCCATTTGGTCAAAGAACAGTCATTCTGTGCATATCACAGTATTGAAAGCTCTGCAGGAAGTCAAGAAGAAAACTTCTGTGCAACAAGGCCCAGAGCAAGGTCCATCTAGGGCGTGCAGCACAGTCTGGCAATTCCGAAGCCTTGTGGAACAACCAAGAACTCTTTGGCCTCAATGTGAAATATTATGTCTTATGAAAACAGCACAGTCCATCAGTCATGATCGCTGTCCCTGTTCAAAGCATTGGAGGTGCTTTCTTAATGGGGGGGGGACCACGATGGTGCCAGAAATGGGCCTGCCACCCAAAGGCAATGAAACAGAAACTGGGGAAGTTCAATCCTGCAACCCAAATGAACAGCTGGACAGCAAATCGGCAAACGTCTGAGCCTGCTGGCGTGGACCAATCAGAACTCTGGCCTCAAACCAGCCGGAAATCTGTGGAATGACTGGATGGGGCAGTTCACCAACCATGATGCACAGAAAGGCTAAGGACGCCCTTTCCCCCCAGAGAATTCAGATCATTACCAGGGACAATGTCTAGCACCTACTGCTAAGCAATTCTCCTCTACTGCCTACTCAGCATGTGCATGGCCAGCCTCATATACAGGCCACTCCCACCGTGGCCAGCCTGGTATTCAGGCCACTCCCACCGTGGCCAGCCTGGTATACAGGCCACTCCCACCGTGGCCAGCCTCATATACAGGCCACTCCCACCGTGGCCAGCCTGGTATACAGGCCACTCCCACCGTAGCCAGCCTGGTATACAGGCCACTCCCACCGTGGTCAGCCTGGTATACAGGCCACTCCCACCGTGGCCAGCCTGGTATACAGGCCAGTCCCACTGTGTAGCTCACATATGGAAATGCTGGCTTATTTATTCGTTGACTCCTTGCAATACCACCTGCCACTTTACCACCAAGTGCACAGTGTTCATGGATATTTATGATTATAGTTTAGCATTTATTGGTTAATGTTTCATTTCTTAATACTCACGACCCCTGTTTCACAGTCTTGGAGCTGGTCAACCAAGCATTTCACTGCATACCATACTGAGTATAACTGTATATGTGACAAATAAAACTTCGATTGATTTATTGACTGAAATTTGATGTGGCCTCAATAGCTTTGAGGTGTTCGGTTATCAAAGCTATTTCCTTTGGGTTTTTAAATATTTCTTGAATGCTGGAGGATTGTAGGCCACATGTGACAATATGTAATTAAAGGCTGAACTCTCTTTATTTGCCTCGTTGGTTCGCTCACTCGTAAACATCGACACCATGTAAGGGGGTGTTGGTATCTATTACCGTATCTCTGAGTGCTTATAAAGGGTGCTCTTGTGTACAGCGTATTATATATATACAGTTGTGTTCAAAATAATAGCAGTCCGACATGACTAACCTGATCAATCACCGTTTTTGGTAGAAATTATATTTCTACATGGCAAATAATTTACTAGTAGGTGTAGCAGAGTAATGGAAAACCAACAGACCCAACAGTCATGACATGCATGCTGCTGATTATGTGTAACAGAATCATTACTTGAAAGGGGCGTGTTCAACATAATAGCAGTGTGAAGTTCAATTAGTGATTGGTCATTCATTCTGTGAAAAAGTAGGTGCCAATTATGGGCCTTATTTAAGGAAGGAAGGCAGCAAATGTTGTACATGCTGGTTATAGTGCATTTCTCTCTGAAATTCTGAGTAAAATGTCATTCCAGACATTGTTCAGAAGAACAGCTTACCTTGATTAAAAAGTTGATTGGAGAGGGGAAAACATATAAGGAAATGCAGAAAATGATAGGCTGCTCAGCTAAAATGATCGCAAATGCTTTAAAATGGCAACCAAAACCTAAAAGACGTGGAAGAAAACGAAAAACTACCATTCGAATGGATCGAAGAATAAGACTCAGCCAATGATCAGCTCCAGGAAGATCAAAGAAGGTCTAAAGTTACCTGTGAGTACTGTTACAATCAGATGATGCCTATGTGAAGTCAAGCTATCTGCAAAAAGCCCCTGTGAAGTCCCATTGCTGAAAAAAGACACATGCTGAAGAGGTTACAATCTGCCAAAGAACACACTGACTGGCCTAAAGAGAAACGCCGCAACATTTTGTGGACAGATGAAAGCAAGATTGTCCTTTTTGGGTCTAGTGGCTGCTGACAGTTTGTCAGATGACCCCCAAACACTGAATTCAAGCCACAGTACACTGTGAAGACAGTGAAGCATGGTGGTGCAAGCATCATGTTATGGGGATGTTTCTCATACTACGGTGGAGGGCCTATTTATCACATACCAGTGATCATGGATCACTTTGAATACCTCAAAATACTTGAAGAGGTCATGTTGCCTTATGCCGAAGAGGAAATGCCCTTGAAATGGGTATTTCAACAAGATAATGACCCCAAACACACCATTAAACGAGCAACATGTTGGTTCCAGACCAACAGGATTGACGTTATGCAGTGGCCAGCCCAATCCCTGGACCTTAATCCAATAGAAAACTTGTGGGCTGACATCAAAAATGCTGTTTCTGAGGCAAAATGAAGAAATGTAGTCCAATCATCCTGGGCTGGAATACCTGTTCACAGGTGCCAGAAGTTGGTCGACTCCATACAACACAGAAATTCTCAGAAACAGTGGTTATACAATTAAATATTAGTTCAATGATTCAAACGAAAGCAAAATCTTAAAACATTTTTCAGTTCATACAGTGAATCTTTGAGTTTGTAAAGAAGAATGTGCACACTGCTATTTTTTTGAACAGTCTAATATTCCCTTTCCTTCACTTTCTGTAAAGGAATAACACAAATGTGATTAATTTCTCTTCTTGTTTTGATTAGGAATAGAATTTGTAGTGTTCCCGGTGCATTTGCTTGTAAGGAAATAAAAACTATTATAAGGATTTTCAGCTTTAATCACTTTTTTAGACGCACTATTCTAAGCACAACTACACCCCAACCCACCCCCCAGCTGGTGCTCTCCCCCCATCAGGATACCCCTCCCACTCTATGTATAGCCCACGAGACGTGGAGTGCTGGGGAACGTCTTCCTCATGCCCATACACTTTTCCTGGTCTAGGAACAGGGAGTTAGCCTTGATGGAGATATCATGTTCTAGGGACACCTTGGTCTTCACCAGCGTCTGGAGGGCTCCCTCCGCTGCCTGCAGCCTCTCCCTTAGCTGGCCCATGGTTTCCTCGATCTCTCTGACCTCAGTGACCAGCCTGCAACGAGGGAAAGGACCAGAGGTATGGTGAGGTTCATCACAGGAATGCCAGAGAAAACCACCCACAACGAATTTCCCAGGAACCAAGTATCTCTAGAAAAATAGCATGTTCAACACAAACATGCGAAGCTTGCCTACTCCCCCAGCCAGGTCAGATAATACTATGGACCAGAGAAAACAGAAAATATAACTTAGCTGTAGTGGACCCAGTTGTTTATTAGTTACCACATTCCTGAAATGTCAGCATGCTGTGGGAACATCATGCACTGCATCTCTCTGCAGGTCTAAGAACACTGACACTGTATGAGACATGCCCGTTGGCGAGGGAGCCTTCCTCAGGTCTAAGAACACTGACACTGTATGAGACATGCCCGTTGGCGAATGAGCCTTCT